CCCCCCCTCTGTCCCTGTCCCCCCCCTCTGTCCCTGTCCCTCGCTCTGTCCCTGTCCCTCACTCTCTGTCTCCCCATCCCGGTCCCCCGCAGTGCCCGGCACTGCCGTAAAGCGCGCTCCCGCCGTCGCAAAAGCCCAGCGCGTCCCTGGCGACGCGGCCGCCCCCGCGGAGCCGGAACATGGCGGTGGCGGCGGCCGAGGGGGCCGAGCTGTGCCAGGCGCTGTCGCGGCCCCTCAGCCTCCTCCAGCAGCCCGACTGCGGGCGAGCGGCTCGGCTGCGGGCGCTGGAGGCCATCGGCGCCGAGCTGCGGGGCCGGGCGGTGGCCGGCGCGGTGCTGCAGGAGGTGTTCGCGGCGCGGCTGCTGCGGCCGCTGTCGCGGTGCCTGGCGGGGGACGCGGCCGAGCGGTGCCGGGAGCTCGCCCTGCAGCTGCTCCAGCACGGGCTCAGCAACTGCGAGCGGCCCTGCGAGGCGCTGCCCGTGCTGCTGCCGGTGCTGGCACAGCGGCTGTGCCCGCCTCCGGCCGCCGAGCCCAGCGAGGAGCTGCGGCTCGGCCTCGTCCAGCTGCTGCTCCTCCTCCTGCAGCGCTGCGGCCCCGCCGCGGCCCCCTACCTCGGGGACATCGCCCGCGTCCTCCAGGCCACCCTCCTCGACCACTATGCCGAGGTCAGGCGGGAGAGCTGCAGGTGTGCGGTGGCCTGTGCCCAGGCCATGCCAGGTGGGGCTCAGGGACGGGCAGGGGGGGAGCGGTGGGATGGTGCGAGCCCGAGAATCCTGGGGGATGGGGGAGAGGAGGGGACAGGAGGAGGGAACAGAGAGAGAGAGAGATGAGAAGTCGCACAGACCCTTCACGGGTGTGCTTTGCGGGGTTTGGAGGATCTGCTGGAGAAGAGCCGTGCCAGGAGTGGAGGCTGAATTGTTACATGCGGGTGACAGCGGGAGGAGGAGTTAGTTCGGCTCTGATACAGTGTAGAGTTAAATGCGGCTGCTACACAAATGCTGCAACATTAGTTAGAGTGCTGTTTGTAGTGTTACAGAAATGTTACTCCAGGTCTGTCACCCACATAAAGACACACAATCTCAGGACAACATTAGTCCCCCACCCAAATGCATTTGTCCACCCGAAATGTCATCGTGTACTGCTGCTCCCAGCAGCCAGTGGGTGGCATGGATATGTCCGTGCTACTTAGAATCACAGAATGGTTTGTGTGGGAAGGGACCTTAAAGATCATCCAGTTCCACCCTCCTGCCACGGACAGGGATGCCACTCACTGTGACAGCTCACATGGTTGCTGTTTCTGTGTTTCTGCCCTAACAGAGCACTTCCACATGCAGTCAGAATCCCTGATAAAACCCTTAATGCAGACAATTTCACACCAGCACTACAGAGTTCGTGTTGATGTGATTCAGGCTACTGGAGCAGTGATACAGTTCGGGAATGGAAAGTCTGTGGATGATGTTCTGTCTCATCTGGCCCAGAGATTATTTGATGAGATTCCCAAGGTGTGCTTCTCTTCTTTCTTTAATCTGGATTTATTTTAAATCTGTTTTGGGGTGAATTTTTTTTTGTGTTTCCTTCCCTCCTCCCCCGGTTTTCCACTTTCATTCATTCAGTTAAGTAAATATGTCTGTTGTGCTTTAATCCCAGATAGAAATTAAATCCCAGCCCCTCACTCACTCCCAGTTCAGGTCACCTGTCCTGGCATTGCTCCCTCCAGCTGTTTGTGCAGAGCTTGAGACACCAAAAAGTCCTTGACTTAGGGTAAACTCTGCTTAGCAACAACTAAACATCAGCGTGTTATCAGCATCATTCTCATACTAATCCAAACAACAGCACTGTATCAGCTAATAAGAAGAAGATGAACTCTGTCCCAGCTGAAACCAGGACAAGTTCCCATACAAGTTTTATCAGCTGTAAACTGTCCAAACCCAAGGCTGGTGACCTATTCAGCTGCTGCCTAATTCTGCAGGGTGTTGAAGATTGTAGGCACCTTTTTGTTTTGATGAGTACCTTAAATTCTGTCTTAAATTCTCTGTCACATCTCTCACTTGATTTTGTGGCCTTTTCAGATACTTAACAAACACAGTATTGGTCCCTTCATAACGTGCAGTTGAGGCAGTAATTTTAAAATTAACTTAATCATTCTTGTAGTGAACAGAGGAAATCTTCTGAAGATGTGTTTGGAAAGCTACAAATCCCAGAGAAATGTACATTTCTTACATTCTCAGGAAGATATTAACCATGACATTTTAGGTTTTTGAGTTAGGTCTGTACCTTGTTTTCCTCTCAGAGTTGTGCTTTCGTGCAGCAAACAGTCTGAGAGTGACTGAGGCAGAGTGAGAAAGCAAGGGAGTGTGATACCTTTGGTGTTACTAAAGATGCTTCATGCAAGTCAGGAAATCCTGGGTTCTTCTAATTTCTTCTGAGAGTACTGATGTGCTTTACTATACAGAAAGCAAATACTGGTTTTAATTTTTTTTCAGTTATTTTCCTGACATATATAAA